CTGAATTTGCTTATTAAATCTAGCAGTTTTTAGTGGAGTTTTTGGTGTCTTCTGTGTAGGGCATCATGTCATCTGCAAATAATGATAATTTAACTTCTTTCTTTCCTATCATTAGTCCTTTTATTTCTTTCTGTTGTCTAAGTGCTCTGGCTAAAGTTTCCAGGACTACCTTGAATAAGAGTAGAGAGAGTGGACGTCCTTATATTGTTCCTGATTTTAGAGAGAAAGCTTTCAGTTTTTCTCTTTTTTGTATTATGTTGGCTGTTGGTTTGTCATAGATGGCTTTTATTAGACTTAGATAAAGACCATCTATTCCAGTTTTCTATAGGGTTTTTATCATGAATGGGTGCTGGACTTTGTCAAAAGTTTTTTTCTGCATCTGTTCAGATGATCATATGATTTTTGTTCTTGGCTCTATTAATATGTTCTATTACATTTATTGACTTATGTATGTTGACCTGCATTCCTGGGATTTATCCTACTTGGTCATGGTGTATAGTCTTCTTGATAATTTGCTTCATTCAGTTTGCCAGTATCTTATAGAGGATTTTTACATCTGTGTTCATTAGGGAGACTAGGCTTTCTTAGTTGGGTCTTTCTCTGGTTTGATTTCTGTGTAATGTTTGCTTCCAGGAACGGATTTGGGAGTATTGCTTCCCTTTCAATTTCATTAAAGAGTTTGAGAAATAGCGGTATTAAATTTTCTCTTCATTTCTTGTAGAATTCAGCAGGGAATCTGTTAGGACCTGGCCTTTGTTGGTAGGCTTTGAATTACATCTTCAATTTCATTGATTGGTACTGGTTTATTTAGGATTCTTATACCTTCTTGATTAAACTTTGGTAATTTATATGTATTAGGAATCTGTCCATTTCTTCTGAATTTTTCATGTTATTAGAATATAAGTTTTCAAAGTAGGTATAGATAATCTTCTGGATTTCTGCAGAGTCTGTAGTGATTTCACCCTTTTCTTTCCTAATTGCATGGATTTGAGTCTTTTCTTTTCTCTTTGTGATAAGGTTGGATAATAGTTTGTCAATTTTATGTAATCTTTTGAAGAATCAACAGTCTGATTCATTGCTTCATTGTATTGTTTTGTTAGTCTCCAGTGTGTAATTATAAAGATCTTCTGATCTTTATAACTTTGTCCCTCATAAGAGCTTTTTACTTAGCCTATCCTTCTTTTACTAGAAGTTTGAGGTTCACCATTAGGTTGTTTATTTGCGCTTGCTGTTTCCTGATATGGGTGTTCACTGCTGTAATGACTACGTTCATTGTGTCCCATACGTTGCAGTATGTTGTATTATCATTATCATATAATTGTAGATAATGTCTAATTTCTTTTTTAATTTTATCTGTGACCCTTGGTTGATAAGGAATGTGCTATTTAATTTCCATGTGTTTATGAAGTTCTTGTGGTTTCTCTTGGCATTGATTTCCAGTTTCATTGCACCATGGCCTGATAATATGCATGCGACAATTTCAATTCCTTTGCATTTACTTAAGCATGTTTTATGACCTAGTGTGTTGTCTGTTTTGGAGAATGTTCCCTGTGCCACTGAGAAGAGTGTGTATTCTGATGTTGTTGGGTAGAACACTCTATAGACATCTACTAAGTCCACGTGTTCAAAAGGTGGTTCAGTTCTAACTTGTCATTGTTGATTTTTTTGTCTAGTTGATATATGTTTTTGTCACAGTGGAGTATTGAGATCTTCCAATACCATTGTATTAGTGCTTACTGGATTTTTCATGCCCATTAATATTTGTTTTATATTGTTTTGTGCACTGGTATTTGTTGCGTATATATTTATGTTATCTGATTAACAATATATAGATATTGTTATCTCTTCCTCTTGGGTTGTTCCCTTTCCAAGGATGTAGTGACATTATTTGTCTCTCTTAATCAGTCTTGGCTTGGAAATCACTCCTGATATTCTGTGGGATCTGTGTAGTTTGAAGTTTCTTGTGTAACATGGGAAAATTGCTTTTTTTTATGTACTTTGAATTCACTTATAGTGATATAAAAAAAACTTTAAAGAACACATATATCTTGTGTACATATGTTTTGAATTTCTAATTTACACATATTCTGTGGCTCTTCTGAATCCTGCAGGCTTTTTAAAATTTTTTTTCAGTTTGAAGGCTCAGAGTGGAGCAGCATCTTGTTCTGTTATTTCTCTAATGTGGTATAACAGTAGCAGAAAAGCTGAAAGGCAAATCATAGGCTGTCAGAGCCCAGTAGTTCCCTTTTAAACCAAGTAAATAGCACTTAAGGTACTATCCTTACCTCATGGTGTTTTAATAATGTAATCCCACACTTTAATTCATTGTCTTAGTTACTTTTCTCTCATTGTTGGGGCAAAATACCCAACACCCCAAATTAATAAAGGAAAGGTTTATTTAGCTCGCAGTTTGTGGAGGTTTCAGTCCATAATCAGCTGGCTCCAAGGCAGAGTGGCAGCACAGGGGCAACAGCCCAAGGGGGCAGAAGACAGCAAAAGCAGTGAGAGCAAAGGGCGGGGGCAAAGCAAGCCTCTTTCCTTCCCTTATATTGTATGCAAGCTTCCTGCCCCAGGGTGGGTGTAGCACTCAGCCGTAATCCCCGCATTGGACCATGAATCAACTAAAAACTCCAGAAGCCCACCCCATGACTGCATGAGGCTTTGGGAAAACATCTATACACAAACTGTAACTCTCATTTATATTAAATAAAAAAGAATTGATAGCAAAAATCCTTTTAGATTTAGTGTAGTGAATTATGTACAGTAGGGTTTTAGGCAATTAGCTCTACAAGTGTTATTTTTTTTAGTCTTTCAACTTCATATAATTTATTAATTTTTCAGTTTATTAAGCTCTGATATACCAACCTTACTTTTTTCCATGTAAATTACGTGTCCCCCTTCGTCAAAAATTACCTTCCTTATACCTACTTTGAAATTTGTTTAAAATATTTTACTTACCTGCTATAGCTCTAATTGATATTTTCAGGAGGTTGGGCCACCACTTTATTATAATTTCTACCAAATCATTTTGTAAAACATTTTATTGAAACCAAAAAGTTCAGGATGGTGTTGTGTAGTTTTGCCACCAGTCAGCTCGATGATCTTGGTTAAATTACTTCACCTGTTCATGCCTTATCACAAAGTGGGCATAGTGGAGGTTTTGTATATTGCGAAGGTACTGCTAACACATCACTCTGTGAACCCTAAAGTGAAATGTACATGGAATAAAAAACACAAAATAAGTACATTCTTAGTTAAGAATTGATATGCTGATACATTTTTAAAAGTAGGCTCTCTGGGGAAAAAATCTCTGATTTCCAGCTTTGCCAGCCTCCTTGGTGTAAGCATCCCCATCTTGGCTGATTTCATAGAAGACGGCACTGGACAGGGGTGAAGCTGAGAAGAGACGGCACACGAGCTGATGGCGTCTGTTACATCCCCGACCTTCTGGACAGGCCTCATTTATCTGTGCACTTTATAGGAGGCAAAGACAAGAGCGTTCTGCTGAAACTTAAACTTGTAACTGAGCAGTTTTCCTGGTGAGAGACTTTATTTTGTAAATTTATTTTTGAACTGTGAGTACAGGATTTCTCATAAAAATTCAACTTCTTTGTTAATTGAAAGTGGCTTTAGGTCTTAGGTAAATTTTGTAGAGTAAATAAAATATAGATTTGGTTTGAAACCGCAAAAGTTCCTCCTTTCAGGAAGTTTTTCTCAATGATTGTGTTCTTACATACCTAATTAAACACATGTAATACACTTACAAAAAGAGAAGAACCAGATACATGTTAGGCATTAAAACATATTTTAAACAGAGTATATGTAGTTTTTTACAGACTGTTAGTAACTGGTAGGTGTGGCCAGTTAGTGTTGAAAATTTCAACCATACTGTTTTTAAAACATGATATTGTATCTTTTGAGAGGCAGAGCGAAGCAGTAGTTGCAAATACTTGCATGTGTTAGAAAGAATTCTTGAGCTTAAATCCTCGCCCTGCACTGGCTCACTGTATACCCTTGGGCAAGTTATTAGCTTCAGTTTCAGCTTCCCGGTTAGGTTGTTTTGAAGGTGAAAGGAAAAATTATACCTAATGTCTTACAGAGCAGTACCTGACACATAGTATTTACATTGTTCTTGTTTCAAAATTCTTTTAGTTCACAACCTGGCAAGTCTTTATTGAATTCCATATAGAGAATAGATTATTCCTAATGTTTACTTTCTAGACGTGATTTCAGTTATATCTAAATAAAGATTAGTAGAAAGGTACTTTATTATGCGCGATTGATGCTGAAATAAAGTGTTCCACATTAAATTTATAGTTTCTTGACTGTTATAATTCATAATCTTTTAGTGCCAAAAGGGGTATCAATAATTACACTGTACAAAGTATAATTCTTTCTTAAAATCCAGGCTTTAAGAAGAACAGGAATGTTAAGCTTCTTTTATAGATGAGGAAACTCATCAGTTAGGAGTATCATCTCATAGAATTTCCCTTCACCACACTTATCTAACATCGGCTTCCCATTTCAGCAGGTGGCTTCTCTTGTCTTGATTCCCCAAATACTCAGCCTCCACTTTTAAGTACTTCTTATTTATTTATTTTTAAATTTTTTTTGAGACATTCTCGCTATGTAGTTTAGGCTGGTTTTGAACTCACTATGTGTCCAGGTTGGCCTCTTGCCTTTGCCTCCTGAGTGCTGGGATTACGGGCACGTGGTACCACACCTAGCTTCATTTATTGTTATCAAATTGAGTGTTGACTCTGTTTTACTGTTCATAGCTATTATCTTTAGCCCCTAGTATAATTCCTGTCCCTTGGTAAATGCTTGATATATGCCGTGAGTGACTGAATAAATACAAGGAGTATTTTTTGTTTAATTTTTACATGTAAATGCTTTGAGAGGACTATAATATTGAAGTATTTTCTTCCTGATATAATGTGATTAGTTTGGTACAGCTTGGCTATAACCAGTGACCTCCTTCTTTTCTCTTCTTTTGTTAGGCAGAGAGCTTAGAAGATAAGAATATAGCTAAAGTCCACCGTTGTCAGCTGGAGAAGTTGAAATCACAATGTGAGAGGCTGACAGAGGAGTTAACCCAGAATGAAAATGAGAACAAAAAAATGAAGCTGAAATATCAATGTTTAAAAGACAAACTAGAAGAAAAGGTAATATGAGTGTGTTAATTTAAGACTTGTTTTGTGCTGGGGATGTAGCTCAGTGGTAGAGCACTTGCCTGGCATGCGTGAGACATGAATTCAGTCCCTAATACTGCCAAAGAAAAGTAATTTCTTCTAGAACATGTTTTATATATTCTGTATTAATACATAGTAGTTGTACTATTGTCAGAAAAAAATAGTTGGTTACAATGCTGTAATTTTTATTCTTTCAGCTAACTATTCACTTTTGAGTAGATTTGATTTTACATTTTTTCCTATGTCTTACAGTCGGAATTTAGGGGTCAGGGATCTAGCTCAGCTGCACAAGTGCCTGCCTGGCAAGCACAAGGTCCTGAGTTTGATTCCTGGTACAAAAAAAATTTGGAATTTAGAGGCAAAGTAAAAAAGAAAGGATTGATTATTTATTGAGGACTTAATATAGGTCAGTAATGTTTGCCAACTAATTGATGTGTTTACCTATTTAATTCTCAGAGCTCTTTGGGTTAGTGTGTTAGTCTGTTTGAGTCACTGTCACAAGATACTAGGGACTGGATGGCTGTAAAACAAGAGAAACTTATTTCTTGTATTTTGAGAGGTGGGAAGTCCAGGTGGAAGCACTGGCAGATTCAGTGTGAGGTGAGAGCCCCCTTTCTTGCTCATGGGCTATGCCTTACACTGTGTCCTCGCTTTGCAGGAGGCCCGAGGGCGCTCGCTGCATCCTCCTTCATCTCAGCACTGCTCCCACTGATGAGGGCTTCTCCTCATGACCCAATCACCTCCCAGGACCCCTAACCCAAGTAGATCATCTCAGAGATTAGCTTTCAATTTATAAATTTTGGGAAGTCACAGATGTTTACTGTGCAGCTGGTAGGTTTCATTGCTGTATGAAGAAAACAAGGTTTAAAGTGAAGCATTTAATGGTTATGTGTGCTATGTGCTAATCCTCGTAGTAGTTTTTGAAATTGATACTATTCTCCTTTTTATAATTTTGGATGGTGAAGGCTAAGAAGGTTTTAACTTTGTCCATCCCCACTGGTTCCCTTCTTTCCTTTTAGTAGATATCTACATTTATTTTGAGTGACTGCCACTTACCACATTTTGGGTAGAATATCAAGGATTTCTAGAAATCACTACTTTTGAGCTTCTCATGTGACAAAAAGTCAAGTAATAATAGAAGCCAGTATTTAAATTTGCTTCTGCCAGGGATGGGGATATAGCTTAGTGGCATAGGTTCTTGTCTGGCAAGCCTGAGGTCATGAGTTCGATTCTCAGTGCCCCCCCCCCCCCCCGCCAAAATTTGCTTCTGTCAACTTTTGCAAAGAATTTGCAGTGGAGTGTCACAGAGTTCCACCATACAAAAGATGAAAGTAGGATAATGGGAAGAACTAGTGTAGACATAGGTTAAAAGAACGCTAAACTTGTTCAGAGTTAGTAAAACCTATGAGGAGGGAACTGGGTGGGGTGTTAAAGACTTTTAAAAAGAAACTTTCTTAATGCTTTTTTTCACCTTTCCTCTTGGTGTTGTTTGTAGAGTTTTGTATGTGTGTGGAAATAAGCTAGTTTGGAATTTATAATTAAATATATTTAACATACTAAATTTCAGCCTTCAGTCTTGATAACAACAGCTGTAATTTAGTTCTTATGTCAGTCTTTGTTTTGATTGTCTCTAATGTTCCTACAAATTTAATGTGTATCTGTTGCCAGGATGTAGTTGCTGTGGAGATGATGCTAAATTTTCCTACTTTTCTCTAGTTAAAATGTTAGCTAGAAATTGTGTTAAAATGTTTTATATTCCCTTGTCTGTCTTTAAGAAATAATGTTGAAAAATTTGATTTGTTGAAAATCTAATAATTACCTTGCTCTACTTAAAATAAATGTTTTTTCACTGATTCTATGAGCGATGTTCCAGATATGCATGTGTTATCGCACATTGCTATAAATGGAACGTTCACCTTAGAACTGGGTTTGAAGAGTTATTGATGTTATTAGGATGTCTTCTCTTGAGCATCACTTATGTGGCTGACATCGTGTTGGATCCCGAGATTAGGGTTTAGATAAAAGCCCAATCTGCAGTTGACCCTTTCCGTTGGTAAAAAAATGGTTGAGTATCCCTTTTCAAATGCTTGAAAACAGAGGTATTGCAGATGTTGCAGTTTTTCAGATTTTGAAATATTTGCACATTCATAATTACATATTCTGGCAGTGAGACCCTAGTCCAAATGCAATTTTATTTATGTTTTATATATATCATCTATACATAGCCTGAAGGTAACTTTATACAATATTTTTAGTCTATTTTTTGGTGAAAACTTATGTGAGGTCAGGTGTAGAACTTTTCAATTGTAACATCTTTAGGTGGTAAAATTGTTTTGAATTTTGTAGTGTTTTGGATTTTGGATTTTTGAATTAGCAGTGTTCAACCTTTTCTTAGATTTTGGTGGTGGATGCCAGTGATGGTGAGCTTTTTAGAGCTTTCACTGATAACAAACAGCTGGCTGCGACATGCATGCGATAGGTTGGCCACCCCGGTGTGTAATGCAGAGAAGATGATTTTTCTATTTCAAAATAGTATATAATCTTCAATACCCATATACACACAACGTTCCCTATAAAAAGTAACATTATTTGCATATCACTTATACACCTCTTTATATCTACTTTCAGTCATCTTTATGTTACTTATATTACCTAGCACAATGTTGAGTGCTAGGTTAATAATTGTATAGTATTACATATTTAGGGGAAAAATCACAAAGTAGTCTATTGTATATGTGCAGTACAAATGGAGGAGTTTTTTGGGGGGAGTTATTTTTAATTTGCTCTTTGTTGAATTTGCAGATTTGAAGCCCTTGGATATGAGGGGCCAACTACATAGCATATTTTTTCTCTTATATTTACTTTTGGTATACATGATTGTTATATATTTCTGGTTGATTTAACTGTGCTGACATGTTCATTTGTTCAGAGAGTTAAGAATTAAACTTTTATTGAGCTGTGCCATCTATAAATAAAACCTTTTTCTTTGAGAGATAGTATAATATCACTATTATCTAGGCATATACCAGTTTTGAAACCTTTTCTGTGTCTTTAGTTATGGTACCTAAAGCTCAAGGCCGCCATCTTATCATTCTTAAAATACTGTAATAACATTTTCTTTATAAGATTAAATGTGAGCACATACAATATAAAATACCATGTACAATATTTGATATCTAATATATCAGTTAATGGTAGTTGCTATTATTTTACTATAGTTGTGTTTATAAATATACACTGATTAATGGTTCAGTGTATCAATCAACTAATCATCAAATATTGAGAGACTACCCTCGCTCTACTTAATGAATTGTTAATAATAATGATAATGTCCATTTAGCAAAAAAGCCCTAAAACTTTGCTTTAAACGTTTAGAGGCAAAATATTTTGAATACTTTAAGACAGATTGTTTACAAGGGAAGCACCCCTGTGAAAGAACTGGAGACACATCAGTGATAATATCGAAGGCATAAAGGTAACCAAGCTAAACAGATGGGCAGTTTTGTAGTTATACTTTCTCTTTAAAGAGAGATCCCATCTTGGTCATTTTTCTATCTCTAAGACCAGGCACAGAACCTGACACAGAGTAGGTAACTTATAATTAATTATAGAGAAAGTGGGGTGTGTATGTAAAGACACACATACACAAACTTGCTAGACTAGGAAGAACGGTAAACAAAACAAAAATTGTTTTAAATGACGGAAACCTGGTGACCATTAGCTTGGAGATTATGACTTAAACAGCATAATACACTGATAAATGCAGCTTTATGGACTAAAGGGAACTTACGGAGTGGCTGTGCTGTACTGAAAAGGGAAGCCTTTCTTGCTGGCATAACGAAGTGGTGCTCTTCCTTCTCCATGCCCAACATCAATGTGTGATGCTACCGAGGCTACTAATACCTGCACTTCTAAGAAGGCCTTGCTCTTAATTTGTGTGCTTTGTTTTAGTCTGTTTCTTGCCATGTTCTGCTTGCTAAAATAAGAAATGTTAAAAGTGTATTGAAATTCATCTAAAGCATTGACCCTAATGGTAGCATTAATCAGTGGTGAGATTACTCTTAGTATATATTTGTGGAAAAACAAACTGTGGCATTTTTTCCTCATGTGTTTAGTGTTGGGATATAGTACTAAAAGGCATTTTTTCTAACATTTGGTTTTGCCTCTGAAATATTACTTTTCAGTTTTACATGACAAAGAGAGTAGTATAATGCAACTTACAGAACTTTTACATATACATTTAAGACTTTATTATGATCGTCTTACCAGGGAAAAGAGTCTCTTGAAATGTTAGAAAATGAATTTTCTCCTATCTATGTTTTCATGAAAATTTATTATCCCTTTTGCTTATATTTTAGAGGAAAATATTTTATTCCTTCTGCTTCAGAAGGATCCTACTGATAATAATCTGTTGATTCTCTTGGAATTTCGCTAGTATCTCATAGTACTATTCTGTCAGAAATGTATCTTTATTGATTTCACTGGAATATGTGAATCAAGAAGGGTTAATAGATAAATGAATAATTTTTTATCCAATAAGTAAACATTAAGTTTATGTAGTAGAAGTTTTAAATAATTAATTTATACAAATCGTTACCTGATATAATTTAAAAAAATTATTTTCAAACAGATAAGCACTTATTAATTGTACTAGCAATCTTCATAAAGGTTTCAACTACAGTAATTTTGTAGTAAATATATTAAAAGATTGATTTTAATTTTGAACATGTTTGCATAATATTTTATTTTAAATATTTAAGTTTTTTGATTTTTTGGGACAGGGTCTTGCTGTGCAGTTCATGTTACCTTTGAGCTCACTGTGTAGCCCATGCTGGCCTTGAACTTGCAGTGACCCTCTTGCCTCAGCCTCCAGGGTACTGGGGTTGCATAATATTTTAGAAATAGCTTGTGTCTAAAATTAAGAAAACCTTTTCATAGATTATTCTGTTCATCCTGTACATATTCAGTTTGTC